GTCACTTCATCTAGTGGAAAGGGGTCATCCTACACTGCGTTTACCCGTACGTGGTTGCCACTCAAGAACCTTTTTTCCCCATCGGTTGTCGGTTCTTCGAGTTTTGTGACCAGCCCATTGCCACTTCAGCTTGCTCATCCTTCGGGTTATGTCGGTTATTTTAGTTCTTTTGCGGATATCCTCGTTTCGGATTCTATTACGCAAAGAAAAGGTTACCATAGTGTACATTTATTACTTTAATTAAATTATACAGTAAATTGAAAAAATAAAACTTACGAATATATTTTAAATAACACTGCGTATTAATACGTAATTTATCTTCTTCTTGGGGCTCATCTTTCCGATGAATATGAGTAAGCACCCCCGAATAAAACCCCAGCTGTCACTGTCGTATCCTACATCCTCTCACACATTAACATCGTATATTTCCACTTAAACTCCTTTAACATTCTTTTCAAAAATCCACTCACCAATCTTTCCGAAATTTCAGTCACCGACCTGCTTGCTCAACATAGTGACTAACGAGCATAAATTCTCCAATCCTCCAATGAAAAGGACCAATACAATATAGCTCCTGAGTGCAAAAAAAGAAGGATTGCACATGTTAGAAGGCATTGATGAAAGTCTGTATCCATCTGTGGATAAATATGGGCTGAAATGATAATAATTAATGGTTCGTAATGACGCTTATTATTACTGATAAGCGTCATTATTCTGAGTATAGACATAAAATGTTTTCAATATTAAATCATGGCCGCTATTTTAATTACTCATCATCATATCGGCTTTTAACTGTCCACTGCTGAACATAGGCCTCCTACTAATGAAAGATATTGCTACTAATTGCTAAACTTGGCAGGCGGGTTGGCAACCGCAGTTAAGCTTTGATGATGTTTAAAGAAAGACGCTGCTACCTCACCCCTCGACTATTTAGTTCCCTTAGTCTTCTCTTACGACACCCACGGGAAAGGTAAGGGTGACACATTGTATGGCGGGACCAAATTGTCAGCCAAACGTTAAATTAGCTAAATTTTGGCACGTTCTTAACACCTAATCTTTTATTTATATAATCTAAGGAAATATATCTTAGATCTATGTATATTTATATTCAATACCAAATATTTTTATTACAAGAAAAATAATTTGTGCATACTTCAAGTAATTAGTAAATAGTTATATTAATTACTAGCGGCACGTCTCGGCGTCGGCGGCGGCATTTATAAAATGTAAAAATGTCTACCCGTGGGTAGGCATTATTACATTTTAAAAAGTGGCCATTAAGGCTGCACACGCGACGGAAGCTTAAAAATGGAGTAACTTCTCCCGTTTTCCCAACATTTCCCTTCACTTCTCTGCTCCTATTGATCGTAGTCTGATGAAAAATATACTATAACCTGCCCATGAATATGAAGAATAATTGTACCAAGTTTCGTTAAAATCCGTCAAGTAGTTTTTGTCGAACATACAGACAGACAGACAATAATTTTACTGATTGCATTTTTGGCATCACTAATCACCCCCTGATAGTTATTTTGGAAATATATCTTATGTACAGAATTGGCCTCTCTACAGATTTATTATAAGTATAGATTATAAAAGGAAGTGTCGAAATAAAGTTTATCAGCTTATTTAGCATTCTAAGTTTTAAAAAAAAAACATTCTTTATTAATGAACTGTGTGTGTGTGTGTGCGATTTTTATGGACGTAACACACAAAAGTACATGAAACAAAATTACCTGTTGGCGTGAGCTCGTTCAGGCTCGTTCGTACATTACCTCAGATTAAATAATAGTTCCACGAATGACGTTAGTCGTTAGACGACGTTTCGCAGTTATAAAACATCTATTAAAAATTCTAGGATGGCTTTTTCGTATCTATCTAAACATTAATATCTTAAATTTAAAACAATTTCCGTCGATCATATCGATTAATAGTCAAGAATCGCCATACTCGTATTATCAAAAGTTTACTTACAACTCATACATCATACCAGAGGGAGACTTTGTACAAAAGTCGTTTGCTTGGGCACCTCTGTCCTATTCGTGTTACTACCGTATTGTGTTTGCATATCTGTGTTTCGGTTTGAAGGGTGGGATATGGCAGTGAATTTACAGGGTACAGAAGAATAACAACTGAGTGAAAGGCGAAATAGTATACTCTGTTATGTCCTGTTATGATACTTCTTATGTCTGTAGGCGACGATTACCACTCAGGTACCGATCAGGTAGACTATCAGCTTGTTTGCCATTCTTAGTTGTATAAAAAATATATATGCTTAGGTAGATAGGCAGCTATACTGTATGTATTGGAAAAATACCTATAATTTCTAAATTTTTATCAAAACTTAATACGAAAAAACAAAGGTTTGTTTTTTAATAGTAGTGTAAGAAAAGAAATAAAACCTCACACCAAACTGCCTGATCACCATAAAACTAATAGTCGATAAAAATACGGGTCCAGCTTTATTATTTATATGTTGCTGTACATATAGATACGAGTATAAAGATTGTATATATGTACTAAATAAATTTATTAACCAAATGAAAGTAAAGTAACAAAAAGCGTATTTAATGTTAGTAGTATTCTCCACTCAACCTTTGGCATGAACAGTGAATCACGATCGAATATTAAAGTACCTACCTAGTTATTATTAAAATAATAAGGATAATAATAAATATACACACATAATCTTTGCACTTTTGCATTGCACTGTACTTAAAAATGTATTTCCATATGCAAAGCAACGAAATTAAAATTATATTAATTATATTTATATGATGTCCTTAAATTTATTATTGAAAAAAAGAAGCGTGATAGAATCCGAAAAGAGGATATCTACAAAAAACCAAAGTAACCGACATAGCTCAAAGGATTAGCAAGCCCACGTGGCAATTGGCTGGTCACATAGCTCGAAGAACATACAACCGATGGGACAGAAAGGTTCTTGAGTGATAACCTCGTACGGGCAAACACAGTGTAGGACGACCCCTCACTAGATGGAGTGGCGACCTGAAATGCATTGCAGGGCGCCAATGGATGCAGGTGGCTCTGGACTGTTCCTTATGGCAGTCTATGGAGGAGGCTTATGTCCAACAGTGGACTGATAATGGATGAATGTTGATTATTATTGAGAAATCTTGCTTTCTTTTTCCACTTATATGTTAACAAAAAAGTTTATTATGAAGTCTTATTTGATCTTTATATTAATAATCGCCAATTTATGACTCGGTAATAATTAACCCTTCTTTGCATACTGGTGGAAATTTCCATCATAACATTGAATGCCTAAAACTTATATAAAAGACCAAGTTCACTTTAAATGGATTATGTCTGGATAATTTTTTAATGTCCATTGCAGAAAGAAAAAACATAGCTGTCAAATTTATTATTTTAACCATTTTTCCTTTAATTTTAAACATGAATTATATTACTTTGACTATATGACTTTGATTTCACCAATAAAAAAAATCATGCAAAGAAGGATTAAAACCGCCACAAGTAAATTCACTTTACTTTTTACATTAAACAAAAGCTGCTACCTACTCAAATCTATTCTCCACTTACGAATACTTATTATGTACCTACAAGGCACTTTCTTCTCCATATATGTATATCTTATTTGAATTACTGATAAATAATGATTATCATCTGCTCTGTATAGTCATTAGAATATAATTCTTATTATCTAAGTTGTATTTAACTATATGTACATATGTATCTACCTATCTATAGACTTTATCACATTTTAGTTTTTTTTTTTTATAATAATCGATATACTCGTGAATTTTATAAGAAGCTAATTATGTAAACGGTAAATTTGATCTTATGTACATAAAGATCATTACTTACTCCAATTTTTCTTAGTAATGTATTGTGGAAATCTTTTTTTATCAACAATATCATTAGAATAAAAATAATAAATAAACAGTTTTCGGAAAGGCCGGAATTCCGAATAAATGTGTGCTTGGTGATAACGCATGCAGAATATTATCACTACACATCCTTTGTGTATGATCTTTGTACTGGGAGAGTGTATAAATAAATGATAAATAACTTACATATACATATAATTAATAACTAATAAACAGACGTTCTTAGTAGACAACTAATTGTATAATTATTTTAAGTTGCCAGTCATGTATAATTTATAAGGACATTTATTTGAATCTATATATACATGTGTAAATATGCAGGCAGTTTGATACGTTTTATACTATTACTAGCTGTATTCTGTTGTTTCACTTACGTGATATATAAAATATCCAACGTGCTAAATTAATATATAAACTACACAGGTACCAATTTTTATTCAAATCTGTTCAGTAGTTTTCGCGTGAAAGAAAAACAAATATCCGTCCGTCCTTCCATCTTTACAAACTTTCGCATTTTTAATATTAATAGGATTATATTAATGTAAAAGAGAAATTTGTTGCCATATATTAAAGCGAGAGTAATATGAGAACTTTATTTACTATTTTAATTTCTTAGATTTTTATTAATTAATCGCATTTGCAGAATATAGTATTGCCATATTCATAAATATTGTTTACAAATTAACTGAATATCTCACAACTTCGCGCATTTCGAATCAATAATCACGCAGAAATTTCACGGTAATTTCGGCTGTGTTTTTCGTTACTTAGTCAATATACCTACATATAAACAATTTATATTATTCTCTCGGTCTAAAAATATCCATCTTAAAATATATATAAAATTACCAGCTTTTGCTCTCAATTTCTTACACATGGATTTGGGCCTACTTCTAATTAACATATGAAAATAAATTTGGTGCAATAATTTTTGTGTAATTCCGGAACAATAATACATATGGACAGACAATGATTCAATAAAAATATTTATATTGTTTTGGTTTCTATTGCTGTTATTTTGTGTCATCCTTCATGTTAATTTTACTTAAACATCTAAGTAATTTTCGTAGACATAATTATAATTTTACAATATTAGTAATTATTAATAATAAAACTGTTTTGTTACAGAGACAAAATTCGAAATGCTGTGGAAATCCCAATCTTGACAAGATGCTGTTTTTGTTTTCCCATGAGGAAAGGTCTTGTGGCCTTTGCATATATCAATTTGGTAAGTTGAAACTTACTTTATAAATTCATTGCAATGTTTTTTTTTCAATGGATAATGGAATTATAACCCCGCCTGTGCTAACGGTATACACTGACGGGGTTTCAGTGAGGGATGATAGGTGAGAATGAAAAGGCAGGTCAGTTATCCCATCATGATGAATACACCTGGAATACAGCACGATGGTTTCTAGGAGGGACCACGTGAAGGTCGACCTGACAGGGTATATTGTTAGCAATGGGACTGGTAGTCCGCATTAGTAACAATCCCTTTCCCCCTTCATTGCGATGTTAGAACAATAAAACATATCTGTTCATCGGTTTAGTTGCTGCTTTGCTTTGCTTGTATGTAATCGACGAACGACATTACCTAACCTTTCTTCGTAATATAGCCGGCACAAGATTTCAACGTTCTTTCTATATATAGAAATATTGTATAAAAAAAATTGGATGATAATAAAATGGTAACTCCGCCTGCGCTTTCGATATACAGTCGGGTTACCAGTGAGGGCTGATGGATAATGATGAAGCAGTTCAGCTAACTCATCGTGACGAATTTAATAATAAAGTATACCTTATATTGTTAGCAATGGGATTGCTAATCTCCATTACTGATAACCTCGTATATAAAGTATTTCTATATATCATACTATATTAGCCATTAACTGTCCACTGCTGAACATAGGTCTCCCCTTTGGGGGGTTTTGCCAGTAGTTGCCACGCTTGGCAGGTGGATTGCCAATCATTAGGTTTTGTTGGTATTTTAAAAGCGACGCTGCTGCCCATCCCTCGACTATTAAGTTCCCTTAATCGCCTCTTATGACACCCATGGGAAAAGAAGGGATGGTCTATTCTATGCCGGGACCACATGGTATTTGTAAACATTATCGTGTATATATTATAATAGAATTATAATTATTAGAAGTGGTAAAACTTGGGCATATTTATTAATTATACATAATACAAATACCACAAAGAAATTATATTTTCTCTTTTTAAAATTTCATGTTATATTCGTATTTCTATATATAAATAATTAATTCCTATGTGTAAGTACCATACGATCCAAGGTCCAAGCCAATTAAGAAAACTTCGTTTCCTAAATTGTTCCGAATGGATCTTGTATTAATTAGTTTTACATTGATAAATTTTATACATTTTCTTTTTTTTCTATATGTTACAGACGCTGACGGTGGTCGCCACAACATTCCTATCTTTATACATAACTGCCGTACGAAACGCAAATGTGAAGGAGCTGAACAGCGAATACCCCCGGCTGATTATAGCCACTACAGCCCAAGTTATCGAAATATGCATGACTATCATGTTCATAGTAGCTTTACATAAGGTTAGTGTACGAACATTAAATAATAAACATACTTAAGTAATTTATACATACATACATATCTGTCATGCCTGTCTCTTATTTGGGTAGGCAGAAACAATGGAACTCCAAATGCTTCGGTTTAAACAACAACAGTAAAGTAATTTGTGCTAGTGAAAATTTTTATGACTTCACAATGATGCCTATTTTAAATATTTATTACGACAATCTACATATTTGTCTGACATTTTGCATGTGAATTGCTTTAATACTGATCCTAGATAAACTACTTAGATATATTTTCATATTTTCATTTTTTCCTGTTAATACTTTCTTTTTTTCATTTTAAAGTTCTGTAGAAAAATATCCAACATGGAATTTTCTCTATAAATGAAACCAATTGTCTTAAGTCACCGTAGGTATATGGGTTAAAATATGCATGGAATTTTTAAACAAAAATATAGAATAATGTCCGTAACAAAGCGATTCATCATAACATACCTATAACATATGAACTGAATTTATTATACATTTATAAATCTACTTCACCATTGATTTAAATATCTACCTATATTATTGTACCCATATTATTTCTCCATGCTTTAATTTTTAATTTTCTATATGATACATGTAATGACAAACAACCATAACTCATAGACTTGAATATCAGAAAATATATTCTGTTGTCTATAGTATGGTACAGTACCCCATATGCCCTATAATTCTTTAAGACTATGGTAATATACCTACATACCATGTAATTTCACTGCCATACTCTTCAAACCAAAACACAGCTACGTTGCAGCAGAAAAAAGAACTTTATATCTTTACGTCCGTGAACTCATTTTTAAAAAATATAATAAGCAAAGTTTCGTTTGTGTATCTTCGCAGAAATACGTGGTTCTGATGAGGGTATTTCTGTACTTTGAGATCACATACTCAGTGGTCGGCCTCGTGTACAGCCTTGTTTGTATCTCCGAAGAAAGCGCCAATGAGCTGTTTTTGATGTTGTTTGAATTTAGTGAGTATTACAACTCCTCTTATGTTACAATACCATATTTTTTAGCTTTATGTTATCGTAAATTTTTTAAATAATTTTGAAAATTGTTATATCATCATCATATCAGCTTATAACTGTCCACTGCTGAACATAAGTCTACCCTTAGGGAGATTTTGGCAGTAGTTGCCATTCTTGGCAAGTGGAATGACGACCGCAATTAGACTTTGGAGAGATTTTAAGAGGTATGCTGCAGCCCATCCCTCGCGCTTCCTTAGTCGCCTCTAACGACACCCACGGGAAAGAAAGGGTTGGTCTACTCTATGCCGGGACCAAATGGGAAATTATTATATATTTTTCATAAATGTAAAGGCCTAAACCTATAGAAATAATGAAAAGTAGTTAAGCAGTAAGTAATACAACGAAATGTCGACCAGACGCGATGTTATTTTCTAATGTATCGACGACATTTTCCTTTTTTTTTCTTTACAAAAGTTATGAGTTTAACAAACAAATGAAAAACACAATAAAAAGATAAGTTGCATGAAAGGAAATATAAATTTTATAGGCGTGGAAAATGAGATGACTGATTTAAAGCTATGAATGTAAAATTGAAAATATCGTGTACTGGTACCATAATATAATGAAAAAGACCAAAAGCTTGATTATAATGATAATCAATGCAATATAATGATAATACATTATTCCCCAACTAGAAATATGTAATTTAATATGGCTATTTTATTTTCTTCCACAGCATTACAAATCTACTTGGCAATTCTAATCTACAGTTCAATTGTAAAGATGGAGAGAGATGGCACAGTGAAGTACACACGCGACAGGGATCCAGTGTAATCAATAGAAATATGTACCATATTTGCATGTAGATATAGGGACCAAATAGAATAAGTTATATTGCATTATTCCTGTGCAATAATTATATAGTTATTATACGTTTGCGATTGATAACTAAAAATTTCTTTTTATTTTAAATATTTTTGTTTTGAGATAGTTGAATTAAAACAAAAATATTTTATAATTTATACCATACAGGTGAAGTCGAAATAATTTAAATTCTTACAGGGGAATGTTCTACAAATAAAAACTTTAAATTATTGAAAATATTTAGTTACTAAATACACTACACAATACACTTCTTTTGAAATAAAATTAATGATTTAGAATTCGCCTGTATGCAACCTGTAACGAAACGTATATAACAAGCCAAAATCCATAGACAATACTCATAAGGGTTCGAGTATAGACACAAAACAAACGATCTCGTGATCATTTTAGTATGAAACATTCAAAAATAGTCTTTAAACTCTTTGGGGAAAAATGTTCACTTAATAATATCTGAACGTCGGTTAATTGTATGCGTTTATGTTACACATTATCTATAGAATCTGTCTATGAAATTTTGTTTTTCTTTTTTCATATATTGTACAAAGTTATATGTTTAAGTTCAAATAAAGTAATCGTTATATATTTAAAAGACCCAAGATCTAATCAGATTTTTATTGTTTTCCCATTCTTTTTACAATTTTTATGTTTTCGACTATAGTATTTTTTTTCGAAAACTAAAAACTATTTATGACATTAATAATGGTACTAAGTATACATTACTTGAGGTTACCACAATTATGTAATTGTAAAAAATAATAAAAAATCCAATTACTAGATACCTACTAACAATATAATATGGTGAAATTGTTTATATTTGATTTAATTAGATATAAACGAAACAGAATGGTAAATATTAAGGTAAATGTTGCAATCTCGCTGACACTGATTAATTATCTGGGTCAAATATTATTGTTAGATGTAATTTTATTGTCATGCATTTTAGCTGGAAATAAAGTAAACCATAATGTTTACTAAGAATGAACTAAAGGAACGTTTTCCTGCTAAAAATTTTAGCGTAATAAGTAAATATTATGCAGTTTTTTTTTTATTATAAGTTTTTGTCTTTTTTCTTAACAGTATCTAAAATAAAAACAACAGCAAAGCATGAAAATATGAGCTATTTACTGACTGATTCAATCGAATTACGAATTGATATAAAATCTAAATTACATTAAATAAATTAAATTAATAAATTTGTACTTTTGTTTACCTCTGTCATATTTTTATAACTAATGTGTGCAATAAAGTATTAAATAAATTTGACGACTATTAAATGCAATTTGAATTTTATTCGATTGCCTTAAATATTACTATGTCAATGTAGGCTTAATGTGTTTTTAGACTTTGATCAGTAAAGATTTAGTCCAAGTCTAAAAAACGTCGTCATCAAAACAGCATCGAAATGCTCATATCTATAAATGCTCTTTTGATTATCACATTCCTTGTTTATAGTTAATGTCGAATAATGTTTTCTCTTGTTATATCCGACTATAATATTATTTTGACCGATCATGATATCTTGACCGATTTTAAGTTATATTAAAGATTTTAACTAAAAGTATTAACAGAGCAATCTACCAGTGATATTAAACATCGTTCCAAAATGCATAAGGGTCAAAAAACAAAAAGCTTTGACGATAAAGTACAAGTTTCCATTACTGTCAATTTATTTGTATTATATATTAAAAACAAGTTACCATTAAATAAATAATAATAAACAATTATTCTTACATTATCTAATAGATGTTCATACATATACTACGTATAGCTATTGTACTGTTTTAATTTTACAAGTTCAAGGTCATAGTTAAATTTTATTTAATACCAAATTAATATTGTAGCAAATAATATATGTACATATCTAATTCTAAAAACATTCAAACATGTAATAACATAATGATATCCCACATTAATAAGTGATAAAAAACAAAATAACTTTTTAACAGTTTTTAACAGCAATTTAACAGTTATTTAACTATATAAATGGTCAGACCCTATTGCGTATGGATAATACAAATTTTAAGCTAAAAATTGTTATGTAATTTGTATTGCTTAAAGAAATTATAAAGAAATACATTTAAAAATTACTCATATTTTTGCTCAAAATAAATTCCACACAAACAGTTCTTACTGTAAGTGTAACACAAATTTACGTTACTATTCGTTTAAGGCAATAATTTGTATTGAAAACTTAACTGCACATCTTACGAATAGTTTTGGATAGTCAGATTTCCTTATTTAATGACATAAATATAAACGCAGTCATAATGTCATTTTTTATACAACTCATACTGCGCTCTCTGTGCTACATAAAATGAGAATAAAGTTATTTGCTTGGTTATTTATCAAAGCAAGCAAGTACTTATTACGCTAACCTCTGTGAAACCAACTACCGTGAAAGCATTACGTGTCATTAATATAAAGAGTCTGGGCACACAAAGCCGCACTCTATGAAAATTACTATAGGAAGTAATTATTCAACACATTATAATAGATGATATAATAGTAACTGTAATATGTTTACATAAATAAAAATCAATTGCCGAATATACTCACCTGTAAGTACATCATTTAAATACGATTGTGCCTATTTAGCTAATGTTTTTTTTTTCGTCAAGTTTGCAATTGTCAGGACAACATTTGTACAAAGTAAAATGTTTGCAAAATTAAACAAAAAGTGAAAATTTTGCGTTAAAAAGTATTAAAGACTTGGCCTCGTTTCCTTCATTATTCTATTTTGTCATTAAACTTTATAATATCGTGATGATGCAACGCGAAATCTTCAATAAAAATGATCATTTTGAAGAAAAGTCAATTAAGAATCTCGACATGACTTCAGTTCTTATGACCTATTAATTATTATTTATTAATGAAATAAAAAAATAATTATTAACGATATAATAATTAATTTTGTGGTTACTTCATGTACCAACTTAAAAATCTTGTGTTGTAATAATGTATGAGCCCTTCTATCATATTTGAAAATATAATAAGAAAATATAAATATAGATAGTAAATATTCTTAGCTTTTGTCTCCATAGACTAGAAATTACTGAAATGATGATGATAATAAAATAGGTATAACAAATTGTTTTCGTTTCATTTAATTTGTTTACTAGCCATCAAATTACCTTAAAGACATATTTAGATGAATTATAACTTTAAGAAAAATCCTCATTTACATAAACCATATTTAGATTGATCTGGATAATATTTAAGTAATAATAATAATGATAAAAAGAGAAAATAAAGAGTATAATAAATATACAGATATAAATAATATACCTAGTTCAACTAAGTAAAGTTAAATTGTAAATAAAGTACATTATTTTTTCATATCTTTTATTATTATTTTTTAGCCAATAGGTTTATTTTATAATTGTTATACCAAAAATCTCTATCTGAAATTAAAGTTTTAATGTAACCTAATTATTACTTACATTATTTATTAATGTAAATACATTTACCAGAGGGAGACTTTGTACAAAAGTCGTTTGCTTGGGTACCTCTGTACCATTCGTGTTTCTACCATGAAGCAGTTGTGTTTGCATGGCTGGGTTTCAGTTTGAAGGGTAGGATGGACAAACAAGCTGACGGCCCACCTGATGGAAAGTAGTACCTTTGCCTATAGACATGAGCGGTACCATGGACATGACAGAGTATACTCTTTCGCCCATGATACCTCTTATGCATTGTCATTCCTGAGAACCCAAGTTTTATTCCTGTGTACCCTGTAAATTCACTGCCAATCCCCCCCTTCAAACCGAAACACAGCCATGCAAATACAACTGCTTCACGGTAGAAACACGAATAGGACAGATAAATACAGATTATGCAATGTACGTAGAAAGTCTACATACACATATAGCTCAAAAACTTTTCTTCGATAGAGGAGTAGAGTGGTTAAGGTTACAAAACCAAGTAGAAATAAATATGATATGATTGTCACTACGTTAACACTTAAACAAATTAAATAATTAAAAGTACAATGTCGCGATCATTATCATTTTAATCACCGGGATGCTATAAGAGGTGATTAGCTAAGTAAATAAAGCACGATACAACAGTGCAAAAGAAGGAAATTCCGAAATAAATATTGACTTTTTCACTTCTTATCAGAAAAATCGAGTAATCTGTGGATATGCTCAGTGAATGTTAACTGTAAAAATATCTAATAATGAAGTACAATATAGTCAACAATATTTTATTATTATTATTATCAATCTTTTAAAGTAATCTATGCATTAGAATAGGACACGTTAGAGGAATCACTAATTATGATTTTAATCAATCGTTCGTTTTCCCCTCTTTCTTCCAGGTGTTTGTAATAACTTCCTACTAATGTTAGAGTGTAAACACGACCCACTGAAACAAAATAAAAAAGAAAAATAAACGCTAAAGATCTAGTTCTAGACGTTTTATGGCATTCTATAGGGTAAAATCAAGATCTTTGCCATCTTTTATTAAGAAGGTTCTGTAAGTGAAACAGAACATTTTCACCAAAGAAATAAATCGAAAATCTACATAAAATATTTTACTTATATTCTGGTTTATTTATAAAGTTAGATATCAGGGTTTTTGAAGCGACATCCTTTATTATTATCTCAAAAATTAAAATTTTTATACTCATACATTAAAATCTTTACTTTAAAGACCATTAAATTTAAAATGAATTTCAGGCAGGAGTGAGTTAAATTTAGTTTTAAGGCTCCGTATTACGTTACAATTTAGCTAAACTATCGAATTAAACTTTTCAACTTAGAGATATGTAGATGTTAAGAATAACTTCACGATCGATCCAATTTTTATAACATTGAAATCAAAATTCTTTTAAAAACATTGAACCCTGGAAATTTTTGCTGTGTGCCAGTCGAAATTATCAATAACTTTTCCCCATAATGTTAATAACATTATGAGGAAAAGTTGTTTCGAGGACCAAGACAATTGATAAAATATTTATTAGTATTTTCCGCGTCTTATCTGCCTGGATTCCATTATTTTCTATTGCCGTAGGCATTTATGGAAATCCCATCTTAGTGTCCACTTACGGCATGTTTAGAACCTCTATACAAAATTTAATGTTTCTAAATTCCATCAGCCATGCGCTGATTAGTCCGTCCGTCTTTAATTTATATAATGAATATATACTCACATATAACTAAAAGTTCGCACATATACACAAGTAGAGAGTTGTCAGCGAAATTATTGATCACGTTCATAGTGCTCCAAAACACAAACATTACTATGGAGACAATAACCTGTATGGATACCCAAACCACCCAAGGTCTCATGAAGTAACTTTTTTCCTGTAACGATAAATTTAATAATTATTACATTCCTTGATTTACGAATTATACTCGACATTAAGTATTGATGATTTAACAACCAGACCGTTTAAGTACTAGATATAAAAAATCACATAGTTTTCAGATATTGCATTTTATAAACAAATTGACAGTCCACCTGATGGAAAATAGTAATCGTTGCCTTCAGAACAAGATCGGCACGTTAGACATTAAGCTCAATATTAATTATTACAAAATTAATCTTCTTAAATTTGAAACAAAAATATTTCTGATAAAAATTCAATGTAATATAATTTATGTGACATAATTAAAAATTCTCTTTCACACAGAGGAATTATTGAGTCGCCAGTCAGAGTGAAGTTAAAAAGTAATCGTTTGTCTTGGAATAGGTACGTAATTTGTCAGTGCAAAGAGAATATTGTAAAGAAAGTATCGATAAAATTGAAAGGGTAGAGGAAAACCTAACGAACGGACTTGTATGAATAATGATATGGACAGAAAAGCATGAGTACTGCGATGACTGCAAATAGAAGACTAGAAATAAATGAAAAAGAAAAACATGGAGAAAAAAGGTAAAGCGTAAGAGAGAAAATGTCAATATTGACAATACAAAGAAATCTTACCTTTAAAACCCCGACTAGCATGAAAGCACTCAGGAACAAAGTGACCGCATGAGATATGGTAACTCCTAGCACCGCCGCATAGCTTAGTATTCCGTCTAGGTCCGAACTGGACATGTATTGTGGTAGTATGGTTAGATATACTGAACATTTTGCAATGGCCAGCACCGAGTACAACTGAAAAAATTTATTTTATAATTATTAATATCGTTTCTTTTTTATACCACTGAGGTGGCAAACAAGCATATGGCCCACCTGACGGTTAGTGATTACCGTAGCCTATGAACACCTGCAATACCAGAGGTATTACGCGTGCGTTGCTGATCCTGAAGAAACCTCTTTACCCCCCTTTTGAAGAACCCCATGCTGTAGTCTCTTGGGAAAACCTGGGCATCGTTAGATTTATTTCCTACTATTTCTCGAGGCATTGCCCATATGAATTAGTATGTATATGTGTTAAGCCGTGTGGTCCTAGCAAAGGATGAGCCACCTTTTCCTTTCCCGTGTGTTTCGTAAGAGCCGACTAAGGGAAATTAATGGTTGAGTGATTAGCAGCTCTTAGCAGTGGCGCCCTTCGCAAAACATCATCAAGCATAACTGCGAATGTCAACCTGTAAAGCATCTTGAACTGTCCTAAAATTGCTCTGAATATGTAAAGGAAATGCTGAATATAGATCTTCCCCTATTGGGAGGTATTACCAATAGTTGCCACGCTTGGTAGGTGCTTTGGTAGCCGCAGTTAGACTTTAATAATGTTTAAAAAAGGACGCTGCTGCCTATTCCTTGATCATTAAATTCCCTTAGTCGTCTTTTAAGACATCTACGTGAAAGTGGTGATACACAGTGAATAAAAGCAGAGAGTAACTGTATTCTAACTACATAACCTATTATCACTACCCAATGTGAAAAAAGTTTGTTTGCAACTTCTTTAACTCTTAACAGCGTAACCATTAGTTACGAAATTTGGGGCACCTCTAGTAATTTATATAGAAAAGAAAATGCTTATGTTGTCTACAAAGTTCTAGGCACACTTAGTAAATATACAATATTATTTATAAACAATAAATTTATACAAAAAATATGTAGATACTTACAATAACAAGAAGACCTGAAACGATGCATCCTATTTTAAGTGGGAATCCAAGAAACTTCTCCGGTCTCGGTAAATTTTCTAATGACAATGGGAATTCTGAAAATGTTCAAAAATATTATCGTTACAGATTTTTTTCAAATTAATTTTCAATTACTGACAAAGGAAATACAAATTAACAAAGTTCCGTAACCCGCCTAACTTAATTCTAAAATATTTATTTATTTAAAGGAACAGCATATTGCATTATAACATATATAACAAACATTAGGGCATATAATTTATGACCAAAACTTGTACCTAAAACAATTTTGTTTAATAAATAATAATTTTGTACCTATAAGTTTATAAAAATCATTGAACATAAATCAAGCCATATATAAATAAAAAAATATTCGTCAAATATTATCATTGTCCTTGTTCTTTAATTGCCGGTAAGTGTATTTTAATTCCTAAGTACTATAATGGTTTAAGGATCTAGATAGGAACTGAAGAAGACTAGACTAACCTATAATGAATAGATAGATCGTGTTCTGTCTGAGAATTAAGTCAAGACTCTGCCATACCAGTTTACTAAATGAATGAGTTTTTTTTTTATGGACGAAAATGGTATGGTAACCCCACCTGCGCTAACGGGATACGCTGGCGGAGCACCAGTGAAGGGTGATAGATGAGAATGAAAACAGACCAGTTAACCCATCATTATGAATTCATCAGGAATTAACCATGATAGTTTCCAGGGAGAACCGCGAGGAGGTCGACGTGATTGAGTGTATTGCTAGCAATGGGATTCTCAGTCTCCATTACTAACAATCCCTTTCCCTCCAACAAAATGAATGAGTTATATGTAAGTACAAATACCTATGTCAATTGATTCTCTCTGTCTAAGATATGAATGCCTAAATAAGTAATTAGTATGACAGAGAAGTGAAATAAGTATTATAACTTGATTCGGACTGCTGCAAGCACTCACTTTGTGATAAAACATGTCAAAAAATTACTGACAAACATTCCAAAAATATTTGTAACAAAAATGAGTAAATTATTACTGAGCACATACAGTGCGGGCGCCTGATATTATTTACTTTAATAATTATTATATCGCTGTATTGTTTCTTTGTTTTTCTCAGGCGTTGAAAACTAAAAGTGAATCTGTAGTCCTTGTCCAAACAAAAATTCAGTTTCTACTCAAAACCTTTAGAATTCCATTTGGTACCTAAATATTTTGTATATTCGTTTTTAGGAACTAATTACTGCAATTTATCAATCGCTAAATATAACACTAAGGACGTACTTACTTGATTGCATCTTTTTTTTTATATTAAACAAAGTTTATAACCACAAATTCAACAAGTATTTGTAAATAATGTTAATCAAATACACTACAGTAATCACAGTGTTAAAAAATCAAAAACAACCAAAATATATTTGAACACAAAATATTTATTGTTACAAGAATCACTATTTGCGTAGAACTGTAAGAAAGATATCATTTTTTATCAACGCCAGCTATAATCACACTCTAGATAATAGATAGGCTATTATCAAGGATATATCGTCGAAATTAGAAAAGATAAAGATAGGTAAATTCGTATAAACGAACATATGTCCTTGCTAACTGAGTGCAAACCATTATCTCTATGTTATAATCATGGTCACCCATTGATATCCCAGTATAGGACAACATTGGGAATAGATGTAAGTATTAACAATTGATTTAACAATGACTCAAAATTTAAATGATAATAGCTCAAAAAAATGCAATTGCTAAAATAAATAGGCGTTTATATTAAATAACTATATAATGACCTGTTGTTACATAATGATGCAATCAAGGATAAATAAATAAATATTTTCTATTTTATTTTAAATGACATATGATTATTCATTAATTTAATTAAAAAAAAAGAGATAAGGTAGATACTTTAAATAATGTTTATTCTTTATCATTGTTTATTTTTATTTTATTAATTAATTGTAATATTTACATATAATAACAACACGAAACAAATTTTGCAATCAGCCATATTATTTTAATTCAATTATCTTTTAAGTACACAAATAATAATATGAGTACATTTCTCTCTTCCCAATCATACAATCTCTTGTTTTCATTCTAGATGTTAACGACTTAATAAATTTTATATACAATTAAGTTATTTTTTACACATTACAATATTTTTTAAACGTTGTGTATTTTTTAATTAATTAATTGTTAAAAAAAATAATATTAAAAATAATAACACTTAAGTTTCTAAGTTGAAGTGTCTTTGTAAACTTGACATGAGTCTTTACATACACATTGATGGATCAATTCAACAAATTCGATTTTATAATTATATAATATACAAAATTTTAAAATACATATCCAACGTCAACAAATTACACTAGATATGTATAAATACAATAAACACTCTTGAACTATAAATACCTAATAGGTACTAAATTTGACAAGCATAAAATATCACGTCATCCACTTTATTGATCTCAGATAAGAATAACGTTTCAACAATAGCATTACAATTTTATGGCTATTGTTTGTTTTGTCGAATATTCTTTTCTTTTTTATTCTATTACCACAATTAAAGCTATCCCACGTATACATAATTTTCTATTACTAATATTGATGTTCAATACTGTGTCCATGAGATTCAATAACGGCCTGTGATACGGCAGCTTGTGATGTCACAGCAGGCTGTGATACCACTATTGGTTGTGATTCAATCGCCCCAACTGGTACCGGAACAGGGTGCGGTATTCTTACCGGTACAGGCGCTGGGACAGAGACTGGAAATGGCTGCGGCACGGGAATACCCACACCTTGAGTTACGGTTACCGGTACTGGATGTGCAACCGGATAGGGGAACGGTCGATCAATCGGTACTGCGATTGGTCGGGGAATTATGTGAGCAACTGGATGTGGTACCGCCACTGGTACCGGCCTTGGATGGTCCACCGGTACGCCGACATGGACCGTATATGGGACCGGCCGGGGAACTGTAAACGGTATCGGTTGAGGTACCGGAATCGGAACTCTGTGATAATATTCTGATACTGTGTGATGGGTAGGTACATATGAGTGCTGATGTAATGCTTCCACTTCCCTTTTTCTCGGATCACCAGCTATTGCATGTTGAATGCAAATATATATCAATATCTGAAATCAGACATATTTTATTATAATTTATTACTTCAATGTAAATTTACAAACTGACAACGATCGCCAATTGTAAGGTGTAGATAAATATTTCATCACATCTAGGTTTATTGAGTAAACATAAATTATAAAATGTATTGAACAGTATTGGAACTATAACGATTCTAAATGATACTTACACAACGTAAATAAAACATTTTCTTAATATAAGTTAACATAAATAAGACTAGACCTATCTTGATGAAGTGAGAAAAGAAAGTGCACGCATGTAGGAAAGTAAGGTATTTATAATGTCATGTGGTACACATACGAAGCGAACCATGTACGGAACCGGGGTTTGTTTACACCCTGTATTGGTAAAGAAAGCCGACGCAGATTTATATAAGTATGATAATACATCATTATAAATTATAATTTAAACTACTCTTATGCTCGCGTTGACTTTAGTTGTGTGAACTTTTATGGAAAATAGTTATTCAATATTTGTAGAAAAAATTATATTATATCATTCTACATTTTATCATTTTCTACAATATTAAAGTGATTCAAATTATAAATACTAGATATTGTATCCGACTGATCAAAGGAGCTTTTTACCTTAAGTATAACACAACTTATTTTTCAGTCTTAAGTTCTAAACTGTACGCTCACTAAAAAACTCAATTGAAACCCTATTTTAGTGTTTGTAAAGTGAAAAACAGTAACTTTTATACGTAAGGGCTGCCTTTTAAGTTGTGTCGTTTGAAATAAGTATAGACAAGCTAATAGATTATTACCATATATTGTTTTTCAAATAATTCTCTGCGATATTTAATACACTTTTGCATGCGTTCAAACCTGGTTTTAAAACATTTATTCCAACTCCGAAGTGGGGATAGTCAAAATGGCCGATTTGTATGCATTAACAGCTTCTTCGGGCGAGTCGTCGAATAGTTTTATTGTATCGTCTATTCAAAGATGACAAGAAAGTCGGTTGTAATGATAGAAATATCTAAGGAAAATTTGTGTGCGATAATTTTCTACAACTTATGGAATGTAGAATGATATGATATTATTTTTTCTATAAACATTGAATAACTATTTTCCATTAAAGTCCACAAAATTTAAATATACTCGTATACCAAATTTTTATTATATTTTATGTACAATAATTCTAAAATATATTAATAGTGTATTATATATATAATTGAATATAATATACATATATTAGATTTACAAATAAACTCAAGTGATAACGTGGTAAAAACAACTCCTTGAATATACTTTCTCTATAACATATTCGTTACCGTTATTACTAGGTAGCAATTTATAAATCCAACTAGATCTGGTCTAGACCTACACGTAATATCTTAGGTGATCGTTATTGCGCAATGAACTTTGTTGAATTGTTTATGCCGCTGTAAACTGTACCAACTTTGACATCAATCATGAAATTAGGAAGTGTTCACTTTAATACGAGTGCTGTTGTGTAATTTTAATTAAAATAAAATAAATGGCCCTGTACTGGTGTTGATATTAGGTAGGTTAATGTTTGATGAAACTACATAAGGTAATGATGTATCTATTGCAATTTATGTCAGAAAAGGAAAGCTCAAAACAAAATAATCAATCAGACCAAAGTGGTAGTGATACGCTAAAACCCTCCTCTTTTGAATAAAGATCTTTGAAGTGAAACATCAGTTATGTTGTTATAATGATGATTATAACTATCAGATAATTGATAATGCACAATTATATCTTAAATATACTTATAATTCTAGAAGATGGCATCATTTCCGCTTGTCTTTATCCACTGCGGGATATAGGCCTTTCACAATGCCTTCCAACACCCTTTCTTTTCCGTGAATGTCATCCCTTTTAAAACATCACCAAAACCTAACTGCGGTTGCCAACCGGCGGGTTGGTAAGCGTGCCAAGCCTGGTAACTACTGGCAAAATACCCCATTACTTTACCCAATACCCCAATAAGGAGAGGCCTATGTGCAGCAGTAGACAGTTAACGGCTGATACAATTGTAATAATTGTACCAAAAATTCAATAAATACAACTAAATAATGTTACTCCTTACATTGCTTAGTCTTATAAAGATTAGTGGAAAATGCCAACATCCATTTTTCCTGTCACCTAAGTGCCACTACGCAGCGTCATCCTTACGTCACCAGTGCACCAGACGAATTTGCACTTAGTTAAAAAAGTATCTTGTAATAAGGAGGCATTAGAAAAGCAGAGTTACGTGTACAGGTTGTCTGAATAGCACTAAGGAATGTTGGCCTGTCACTTACTAATAAGGATGAAGTATTTCCCTCTTCAGTTTTTCCAATTGCCTCTAATGTTAGCCAAGAATCCACATTCAGTTTAACCGTCCTTAACTTTTCAAACACAATTCCTAAGTGGGCCACTAAGTACAAATTCTATCTAATTATCTGCGCGGTGGTTTTCTTAGGCTAATTGTCACTATTTGTTTTTATTTGTTTATATCAAGCAATTGTGTATATAGCATTATCATACTTTTTAAACTAACATATAAAAATCCCGTAATACGATGTTTGTTCACGCTAATCTCCGAAAGTTTTTAACCGGTTTTAATGAAATTTTGTAAATGTATATTTTTTGCTCAAAATATACAGGGTAGGATGGGTTTTATTCTAATAAAAAAAATAGAGCCGGTGGTGCCAAAACAAGATTTAATGATTGAAGATGGAATGGTGCACACATTTATGCTAATGATATACAATGGCAAGGCATCAGTGAGAAATTAAACGATGACAATGATGTCAGGTCATTTGGTAGCGAATTCACCAGGAATCAACCACAATGGTTTCCAAGACTGAGCCGCAGAGAGGTCGACCTGAAAGGGTATATTATTAGCAATGGGGATTAGCTTCCTCATTACTAACAATCCCTTCGCCACAGTGAAACAAGATTTTCAAGATCTTTTGTAATAGTTGACAATAGAATAGTATACCCGCCTGATCTATCGGTAATTCGGTATACACTGGTGACTTTTCCCAATATATAGTATAGAGAGCAGATTATAATTATACCTGAGGAAAAGATTTACGAGTGAATGATTTAATTGACTTTGTATTCACCGCAACGCAACTATTAAATAAATTACCACAAAATTTTAATAATTATATAACATTATTTAAGATAATACTATTATATTCATAATGCTAATTTGTAAAGGTAGGAACTTAAAAATAAAACTGAAAAAAAGACAAGTTATAACTTATTCCATCAAGAATGTGGATAATATTCTACGATTATAATATAGTTTGTCCAATATTACTTCTAATTAAAATAAATCGCGTCCTTGAATTTTTTAGAAAACGAACTACATCAGGCCAACCATGAAAACACTACGCTAAACAGAAGAAATATACTTCACTCACACCTTATGTAATCAAGTAACCTGCGCAATACACCCAGAGATTCCTTGCTAAGAATTGCAATGACGTACTTACTAAAATTAAGTTTACAACCCACTTCAAAATGGAGTAAGTTTGTAATTCGACTGTATTTTTGTGTGTATGATTATACAATATCTTAGCACATAGATTATGATACTATTTGACGGTTTATTCCCATGTAAATGTAAATTGGACTCTATTTTTCGTGCTTAGCCTTTCATTTGGGCCGTTGTGCGTATGAGTTGTGGCTAGTACAGCTAACTTAGCTCCGCCCAGCACAGAAGCTTCCTGAAATCTTCACAGACCTCACGGAGCGACCTCACTGTTCCGAGGATTTGGTTTATTCCTTTATTAATTTATTCCAGACCAGCAACCCGCTCCAATTTTGCACTGTTTGTTTTAATAAAATGAAATTTTCTATAACTGAAAACAATTTTTAAAATCCATTAAGTGTTTATTGTTATTTTACTACATATGTATTTCATAGTATATTATACAATACTGTAATATATTATATTATACTACATACAATTTTACATTAAGAAATTTTATAGCTTCAAAAATTTTAAACCTTACTCACATTTGATCGTAAAAGATAGTTCGATGGATGAGCAAAACCCTTAGTCACTTGACGGTCAATGTTGTATGCAATGCTTGAAATTAGCACAAGCCGCTACCTACATACTTAAGTAAAACAAATCTTCCGTATAAGCCCAACGAGCTCGCTCATTCACAATGATCGCATTCTAATTCATGTTGTAACACCTGTGCCAGTGAACCAAAAACGTGTTAAATACATATGTAAAGTGTGATATCCATTTAATTAAATTACGATTTTATTACACCTTCAAACACTAGACGTAATAGTTGTACAATCTAACTTGCTGATTTATATAAATATTCTGCACGTATACCTTAATGTTCCGGTATTGTTCAGTTAATTAATAGCATCTTCTATAGACGACCTCCTTGGAGCAGTGATGGCACATTAATGAGGCACGAATTAGATTCAATTCACGGTCGGGTCAGTTTATGAAACACACTTTTCTATATTGACTTTAGTCTGTTAATATTTATTATATTATCTGATTTCACATGACGCAGAGTAAGCTATGAAGAACAAGTAATTGATGACTGTGCATTTATTTATTTCTTGAAACCCTATTATAATATATAATTTATATACTCATGCCACGTATATGTAGAATACATGTTACATATAGTTTGATATGGCATGTATAAATTACGTCGACATTATTGTGCTTTAGTGTACTATGATGGTAAATATCGACGTTCACATGAAAATGAAGAGCTACATATGTACATAAGCCAAAGTTTTTAAGTGTCTCTCTCTCTTTTATAACGCAAATAATTGTTTCTTGATAAGAACGTGATATAAGTATTGTCGTGAAATTAATAAATACACCTCACGGTATCTTGAATATTCTAAATACCTATATTGGTAATACTTTACTAACTTTAATATTTTAAGTATACTGTAAGTTTTTATTTGCTATAGGATTGATAGAATTGTTATATAGGATTTTATACTTCCTATCTCCATCATATCCTACTTCAGGTTCTTCGTTTATTCTTCCTAAGAGTTCATTAAAATTGTACGATATTATGTATTTATCATATTCCATCATCGGAATATTAATATGCTCCCAAAACTTTTTTCCATTACATCACCGCAATCAGACTGAACAACGTGTATACTGTAGAAACAAAAGCTGCAATGGATCCATAATAATTTTACGATTACATGATTCAATAACATATAACATATCGTGTTGCGACTGTTTTACAAATTCATATTTTTTGTTAAACTACTCCTATTCCGATTTGTTTTCCGTCATTTTTGCAACTTAACAACAGATATGATGGCCATACTATATGTGAAGCTTGTGAAATTTTTTATATTTTATTACCATCGGCTTTTTTGTACCTTCGTCACGTTCACTAGTCTGTGTTCAACAGCGGGCACAATCGCATAACATTTCCATTTTCAATGAGATATTGCCTTACTTCTTCAAACAACTTCCAAAAGAATTCACAAT